ACTGGATTCCTCCCTGACTTGCTGCTTCCTTATCAGATTTGTGAGACATATTTTTCACCTTTTGTATTTTCAACACCAAACACCAAGGTCTCACCGGGCGTGCCAAATTGTTTCGCGTTGGTAGTCGCTAACAATTAAAAAGGGATCAGACGATTGTGTAAGGAACAGACCTTTTGAGACAAAATCTCAAAAAGGGGTATTTTATTGGCGATGATTTACAATTGGAAATAAACAGAATGCCTTCAAGGGGCGCAAGCACACGAGTACTAAAAGAAGTGTTTAAATATAAACTAAGAAATCGAAATTACATATTCTCTATTTGAGAGTGCTTGATTCGTTCCTTTTTTTCTATGTCTCCTCTTCCTTTTATATTCCCTTGATGATTTTTTCATGACAAACCGCTTGAAAACTATTTGATTGTTGTATAACTACCCACTTTCTTTATGGTGGCTAACTTGTCGTGGAACTGCCGTCTCTAACTGTTGCCATTACTCTTTTGTCGTTCAACCACCTTCAACTGGGCTCCTTGAATCGTGAAATGTGATAAGATCACTCAATAACTGTTATTCTGGATAACCATAATATTTTATGCTTGCTAAGATCCTGAGCGATTCGAAGGTTTGGGCGAGAACGGGGTTATCGCTCTGGACGACCGTAAGGTACTCCATTCGCTCAAGTTCTGGACGTCTTACAAGTTTGGGCGATGATGTTACCGTGTTCGTGGGCTTCCACCGCATTCATCAATAATCCTGTTTGAACTTTTATCCTGAATTTCCCAATTGGACTTTACTTTTTGGACTATTTAATTTGGGCTGCACTTTTAGTACGTCAACAGAATTCTATGAAGTTTTCTTTCGAATATGAAAGTAATAATTATTTAAATATTTACATATTATTACACTTGTAATATAAATATTATGTTGATGGGCCGATAATAATTAAGCCTAGCCCTGTTTCTCCTTTTTCCTTTCTTGATGATTCCATTTTTCAAATTTTTGATGGATTTTATTTTTATTTTGTTTATTATTATTATTTTTTAAAGTAGATATGGGTGTTTAATGATATGATAGAAGAAGAAAACATTGATGGGTTCTTTTGTATTGCAAAGAACGTGTGGTGAAAGTATCTGTGTGTGTGACGACTGTTATCTGGAGTTGGGTTAAATTGAGCCAAGTCATTTGAGGTGGTGACCGAGTTTGGATGGGAAGAGTGTGAATTTGTACCCTCCAAAAGGGGTTTTTGTTGCATGCTACGGAGGGTGGGAGATTATAGGTCAATTTGATTAAGTTACAATCGTGAATACTGAGTTGGGACCGAGCATGGTGTCTGGGATCCGAGTTTGAGTTGGACAGTTTCGTGAGGCGGGCAGTTGAATTTTGTATGTGTGTTGCTAAGTTATTCTGCCGGGTCATGTACTGAGTCAAATAGGCTGGTAACCGACTTTCTTTCTTTCTTTCCAGTTTTTTTCCCGGAGTCAACTGAATTGATCACATAGACCATTATTTTGAGGAAAAGGTAAAAAAAAAAAGAATTCTATTGCTTATTAATAATAGAATTTGGTGGGTTTGGATTTACACTAAGATTTGTTCTTTTCAGGCGGTGCGAAATAAATATAGAAACCGGACGATTGACTCAGGGCTTTTCTTCCGTACAAGTCCCAAACTTGACATATTGCAAAATTGAGCAAGGCCTCCAGTAATCAAGGCCCCCAATTGGATAGGCACGGAGCGTCGAGAAGATGGAATAATTCTTCTCAAACAGACAGGTAGCCTCCCCTGAGGAAAAACAGGGCACATGTGGCCCTGTTTATGTAGCAGCATTCTTGAAGAAGAGGTACGAAACCCCAAACCCTGAATTCCTGTATGAATACCGAAACACCATTGAATTTTTGGGATTTTGTTACTTTCACTTTATTTTAATCCCATCATTAAATTAGTTGCAGTGGATGAAATAAGGGTAGATACAGGAATTCGATTGACTGCGCTCCTCCAAATCACCGTGTGCTGGCTAATGAACACCCCCCCTTTGTTATTTTGTTTTGCAGACTCAAGCAATTGTGGGATAGTATCCCTTCTCTTTGAATAATGCTTTCTATGACAAAGATTGATTTTTGATTTGATGGGCGTGTGCTTGTTTTCAAGAAAGTCTTCAACGGGTTTAAATTTCGGGGTTGTGCATAAGTTGGGGCTGTTTACTAGGCAGGTTATTGTGAAAGATATCAGCTTTTGCAAATTGTATAGAAGTGCTTCTTCTGTTTTAGTGTTGGATAACGACTCTGACAGCGGCTCAAACTCTGAAAGCAACTCAGAAAATGAAGCACTTGATTGGAGAAAAGGAAAAATAATTCCCCGAAAATGCATCCATGAGCAGCGCAAAGGCAACAAGCTTTTTTCAGTTGTTGTTGGAGTTCTTAAATCTTTAAACTGGCAGGCTGCAAGACAAATAAATCTTCTGAGTGCTACTGAACAATATGGTTTTAATCAATCAATTAATGCTTATATTATGATGGTGCATATATTTGCATGCGCTGAAATGCATATGGAAGTATATGCATTGCTGAGAGATATTATTTATTGTTATCAAAAGTTTGATCTTGATTTGTATGGATTAATCTTCACTTTATTGGATCGGTCTAGTAATGCAGCTATATCGACTCACATTGTTAATGTACTTGTAAAGGTTTTTGCTTCAAATAGGATACTTAAACATGCATTTGAAGCATTTCACCAGGCTAAGAATATTGGCCTTCAATTGGGTGTTGAATCGTGTAATTTCTTGCTTAAATGCTTGGCGGAAGCAAATGAAAGAGAATTTCTTGTGAAATTATTTGAAGCAATGAAGAAGCTTGGTCCCTTACCTTGTGTCTACACTTACACAATTATGATTCAATATTACTGCAACATGCATCAAAGGCAAGGTAATGTAGATATTGATCAAGCAACTGACATTCTAGAAGAAATGGAGAGAAGTGGGATAACCCCATCTATTGTAACGTATAATTCGTATATTCATGGACTTTGCAGGGTTGGAGGTGCTGAAATTGCTTTGGACATTATCAAAGACTTGAGAAGTAAAAGTCACCCGCTCAACTGTTACTGTTATAATGCTGTTATTCATGGATTTTGTAATACAGGTGAGCCTGAAATAGCTATGCAAGTTTTGGCAGAGATGAAGAGTTGTGGAATTAACCCAAATACACACAGTTATAGTATTTTGGTTGAAGGGTTTTGTAGACGCGGAAATATTGAGAGAGGTGACATAGACATTGCCTATAAACTTTTCGAAGAAATGATCAATAATAAGGTTGCTCCTAATGCTTCAAGTTATGAGAGCTTGATTCATGGATATATTAAAACTGGTTCCTCTGAGAAAGCCTTGAAGTTTTTCAATACTATGATAGAAGACAATATTTTGCCAAATGTTGCTACCTGCAACTTGATCATAAATAATTACTGCAAAGAAGGATGTATAAAGGATGCCTTGCAACTTATAGATGAAATGAGAGACCGTGGGATTATCCCGAACATGTTTACCTATAATTTGGTAATCAACTCACTGTGCAAAGCAAGTATGTCAGAGAAGGCACTGGAGATTATCCCACAGATGCTTAAAAGTAATGCAATCCCCAACGTAGTAATCTATAGCACCCTCATAGATGGTTTTGCTAAACAAGTAAATCTGGGGAAGGCCTTATCGTTGTATGAAAAAATGCTGAAAGTTGAAGTTGCTCAGAATACAATCACATTTACAATTGGTATTAATTTATTATGTGACATGGGAAGGGTGGAAGAGGCCTATAATTTGCTTAAGGAAATGATTTGGAAGGGCTTGGATCCGGATAAAATTTCTTACACTTCAATGATTTCTGGATTTTGTAGAAGCAAAGATATGAAGCAGGCGTGGGGATTATTCCAGGAGATGGTGCAGAAAGGTCATTTACCTTCTGTCGTTACCTATACTTGCCTCATTGATGGGTTTGCTAAACAGGAAAATCCAACAATGGCCTTATTGTTGTATGGAAAAATGCTAAAAGCTGGAGTTACTCCAGATACAATCACATTAACAGTTCTTATAAATGTATTATGCAACATGGGAAGGGTGAAAGAAGCCTATAATTTGCTAAAGGAAATGATCTGTAAGGGCTGGGATATAGATAAAATTTCTTACACCTCAATGATTGCTGGGTTTTGTAGAAGCAAAGATATGAAGCAGGCATGGAGAGTGTTCCAGGAGATGGTACAGCAAGATCATTTACCTTCTGTCGTTACCTATACTTGCTTAATTGATGGATTTTGTAAGGTGAATCAGATGGTCTTAGTCAACATGTTGGTAGAAGAAATGAGAAGGGAGAATGTCTGTCCTGATTGGGTAACCTACTTGGTTCTCATTTCTGGATATCTACGCGTTGGGTTTGTGGACAAAGCTCATAAGCTGTTCGACAAAATGATAAAGGAGGGAGGACTACCAGATGATATTACTATCAAAACATTAGGGCTGACCATGGGTTCAAGAAAGGAGAGATAGGATAAGAAATGCTGCGGAAAAGACCATAAATTATGTAAGATGAGACTCTTTCTCTTACCATATCTGCTGTTTCCTTATGACATTTAAGTTTTGGACAGGAGCCTTTTGTTTAAATATCCAATATGTGACCTTGCTTTGGTATTAAAGTTTTGGATATATGTGATTGTAATTTGAATCATACGAAACTGTCTTAGCACCAATTCAGTCATTTTTCATTTTGGAAGCTCAAAAGAGTAATTGAGGTGCAGTCTGTTATCAGTAGGTGGGTGTGGCTAGAGAACTGCATATGCGTGCTCCATGTAGACCTCAATCCAATTTTCTGTAATCTAGTCCATTTTATGAGTAACATTCCAGAGCACAAAGCTAACTGAAGCCATTTTATTTCTGATAGGCTACGGAAAACCTCCAGCTTATTTTATTTGTGACTCAAGACTTTGCAAATGGCCCAAAATTTCAAGACCTCCGTCAAGGCAGAGTGAAGGGTCTTATAGCAGCTATTGATGGTTTTGAGCCGAGAAGAATTTCTGACTCTCGACCTACATGTATTTGTGATCAGGCACACTTTTATACATTGTATGACACTTTCAAGCTTCACCAAAATCTCTTTCAACCTTGAGTTGGTAAGCTTCTCTTGATCCTCTTTCTTTTCATTTTTAACATAGATTTCGTGTGAATTTGATTTTTTCTTCCCACATATGTTGTTTGACATAATTTATATTTAGGTGTCAGTATATTAGCTTTCCTCTCATTAGACTACTTTTTCATTTATTTATCAAGAGGTTCATATCATACTCCAACGTGAACTGTTTCTTGTTTGCTTGGTTATCCTTTCCTGAAGATGAGACTGTTGTAAAGGAAAAGATTTGTCAGTTGACATTGTAGAATCAATCTTCTATTTTTCGAATATCTATGGTAATTTTTTTTTTTATTCCACTTCTATTATAAGAACATAATCTTATTAATCATGACATTTTGTTCTAAAGAATTATTACCATTACCATAATTTGTTGACTTGTGAATTGTTTTCTTGGTTAAGAGTTTTACAGTTTGTAAACTCAGTGATAAAGTTGCATGCTATTTTCAACTTCTATTAGAAATTTTTCACCTTGTTTGAAACCACTTCTATTGGAATGCTAGCAAATGGGGAATAATGAAATTTCCCTTGATTTTGAGAAATTACTTGTTGAACTGATAAATTAACTAGAATCTGCTCTTTGTTTAGTTGATATTGATTTGATAGGAAGCAGGGTTATTATGTTGCCCTTGTAAAAGTTACTTTTTGTCTGTTCCTTATTGTTCTCTATTTTGGGATTAAAAAAATATGAATAACAATAAGGAATTTATATTTTCCTAAATTTCAGGATTTTTTTATCTATAGCTGTTTGATTCATTTAAACCTTTACCTACAACATTATGGATGTAGTCAAATTGTACAATAACAGTATTCGACACATGATGTGTATCAAAACTTACGAACAACAATGATGTGGGATACTTTGAATTTGAATGCTTGAGTCCATATATAACTAAAGCAAAATCTAACGGAATCAAATAAATTTAGTTTAGATTGGTATCATCGCTGACACAATGTCCAACGCGACATGTGTTGGATATGCTAACACGCGATTTTTCAAAAAGTACCGATACAAGACTTCGCTAATACATTGATTGAATTCTTTAAAGTTCTCGATTTACAAATATAAATTTTGTTTTATACTTATCAATTTTTTATTATTATTATTTTTTTAAATTTTTTGTTGAGATTGAGAATACCTATTTATTAGTAATTTTTAACTAAAATTATATAATACAACTGCTACTAGAGAAAGAAAAATTACTATGGTAGTGTTCAAGTAGCTTTGGAACCTTTTTTTTTTTTTTTTTTTGAAGCTTGAACATTTTCTGCTCCTGAAAATTAATAGTTATAAGTAGATGTTCCATGGTTTAAATAGAGAACTAATATGAGATGGGATTTGATACACTGAAAGCTGAAATTACAAGCCGGCTATGATGCCCCCACTTTAGCTAGTCATTCAGGTTTCCATAGGATGAAATAAAACAATACACGTTGTAAATTGAAGGACACGTAGAGCACATCTTTCTTTAGCTAACATAACTGTTGCAGAACCTTTCTTTAGGCATTCAGCAAAGTACAGAACCAAGTAACTGAACATGTATTATTATGGCGGCTGGATTGACTAGATACAATTTCAATATTCAAAGTAGCAACTTCGTATCAGAGACACAAAAGAATTAACTGACATATAAGAGGTCATTCAATAAATGTGTACTTTAGCAACTTGCCTTTATTGAAGATAACGCCTTTCTGTCTTCACTCGAGTCATCTTGCATTACCATTACCAAAGATGCGAAAGTTGCTGAATGTGCAGTGGTGTTTGCAGGACTGCTTTGGATTTGGTGAAAATTCTTTCCAGACATCGAGCGAATGGATGCTAGATAAATATCAAAGCTTCAGTTGGCCAAAAACACAAATATACGACAGGCATGGATGCTAGACGAATATCAAAGCTTCCTGAACACAGGTGAAGTTTCTCTTTCAATTCACTTTTGCAGGATATTGTTTTAGAGGCTTTAATTTTGTTCCTGGCATGTCTATAATAAATCACTTTTTTATGCTCCAGAAATATATGCTAGTTTCTCAGGTATAAAGTTTGCATGTCTTTGGTGTATTTCTGCATGTGTGGATGTGCACGCATATATTGTGTGTGTATTTTGTAGCAGTTGCTTGTTCACGGATGATATTTACACTTTCAACTTAAGTAATGTGATCTTAATTATTTGTTTCCATTTGCGACTAGGTGCTATCTCAAACCAGTACACTGCCACTTGATGAAGTTCAGGGAAGAATCTAGAAAGGGATAGCTGCATATTCATCATCTTTTAGCAGTTAAAGTAGCTTTATTTACTTTCTTTTCCATTTTAAGCAAAGCCATTTTGACTTGCATATGACCTTTAGGATGATGTTTTTATCAGAGGTCTTATCCTGCCTTCTTGCTGACTTCACTTTCCAACTGCAACCACCCTATGGAAAAATGTGAATATGAAGAACTAATTTATTTGGCCTTGAATGTAATTTCTCCATATGCTTTTCAAGATTCATATTCATTATGTTTGTGTTTGGCTCCCGCTCATCTTTGGCTTCTCACCCCCAGTTTAATAGTGGGACCAGACTTTCTTGACATGAAACAAAAGATTCAAAATTTCTGGAAATTTAACACGTTTTTCATAGAGTGGAAGGGGTAGGAGTTGTCCCACTTCCCTAAGGAAAGTGTACTTTTACTTTTCTTATTCTTAATGTGAAAGCAAAGTGGACTTCCACAGCATTCTACTGAACAGGAAACAAACTCGTCTCATCGTGAAATGGAAATCTCAGGAATGTTCTGACTTTGTAAGTTTTTTGTTGAAGTCAAAATGGTTTTCTTGGAGTTTTGGTTGGGCCAGAATCGAAGGGCCACCATCCTTAATATCTTCATCTATATTAAAGACTACCTTTGATTTTATTCTGGCTGATTTTTGTCTCTTTTTTTCTGCTTGTGTCCAGTTGGCACAAAGTAAATGAAATCTTTGCTTGCCAAGATAGAGAAATTTACCTTTTATTTACTGGAAGTACTATTGGTATATGAAATGCTGCCATGTGTATTACTTGCACTTTGCTCTCCACTGTATTTTAAGATGTCTTTCCTGTATCAGATCTGCTCTTTACTTCATCAAAGGCACAAAGACTTTTCATCTAGTCTGGTTCAACGTCTCTTGAAAATTTTCTTACCTGGAAAGTCCTCCGAGGACTTAGATGGAGACAAAAATTCAAAGGCCATGAAGAAGCTGAGCACACTCAAACTTCTATTGGAACTTTACTTTGTTCGTGTTGTAGAAGATAGCAGCCTCTTTACAAATATTATTAAGGATCTCACTAGCATGGAACATTTTAAGGATTGTGATGCAACCCAGACAAATCTATCCCTTTTTGCTAGTTTTGCTTGACAAGGAAGATATCTTCTTGGACTGCCTGTGACTGGACAAGAAACGCTGGAAGAGGTTCAACCTTTTTAATGCTTCATTAAGTGTGGGCTTTCTTTGTGCTTTTGTTAAACATATCTTTTACAATTCTTAGTTCTTGCACATTTTCATCTTGGTAGTGGGTGAGGCCTTGAGCCGAATTGATTTCATTTCTTCAGGATGTTTCACGGAAGCAGTGAAATTTAATTTCTGTTATTAAAATACGAAACTAGATGTTCTGATATCATTTTAAGCGTGTTCATTTCATCAAATGATTAGGAGCTTTGTTTTATTCTTTTATAGCTAGTAGTAGAATATCTGTCACTTGTTTTTGTACATGGGATGTTACCCTGGCTCTCTTTTTTTAAAATTTTCTTTCCCTCATTTTTTTTTCTGTGTTGGAAAAAGTTCAGTGCTATGGTCTGTCTTTAAAAAGCAATGTTAGATAGTTATGAGTATGGCATTTGCAATGATAGTGATGTCTCTAAAAATATGAATCTATGTTGGTTTTGTCTGTGTCAAATGAGATATTGGTTTTGATGTTAGGCTGCACAGAATTCAATTATGGGGTTTTCATAGCTATTTTTAATAATTTAGTTGCTCTTTTTTCTGCACTCATGCCAATATATGTATATATATATTTGAAGTTTTTCCTGGGACTTAATATTACAGCGGAACAGAAAAAATTCCTTAGAAAGGCATTTCTAACCTACTATGATGCTGCTGTAGAACTGCTTCAGGCAGAACATGCAGTAGAGCTTTATTCCTTTATGCCTGGATCTTGGGTTAAATTTGATTTCAAAGTTGGTTTTTTGTAACCTTAGTTTTCTGCATTCATGGTTATTTGGTGTGGCAATTTAATATTCATGCATGCCATAGTTCTTTTACTAATGGAATTATTTTCTTCTCTCTCAAATGGAAGTCACTTCACCAAATGGAGCATGATAATGTGAAGATTTTAAATGCTAAAGGTGAACTGAGTGAAGGAAACGCCTCTTCGTATGACAAGCTGAGAAAATCTTATGACCAACTATATCGTGGTGTCTCTTCGTAAGTTACTTGACCTGATCTTTTTGGACATATTTGTTAAGTTTGTTGTACAGTGCTTGTGAACAATACATTAGTTACTACTATGTGGAACTTTTTGAGACAGTTGGTATATGATTTCTATCTCTGTGATCCTGATAATAGTTTGCACCCATAGAGGGAAGGTGTTGGCAATACAAGTATCTGGAATCAGGTGTGATTTTGAGCAGGAAGGGTCCAGCTATGTTCTTGAGCTCAACTTCTTTTAGATAGCTGGACTTCAAGAATTGACTTGAGATCATTAAAACTCTGACATTAATGTAGGGGCTTTACTCAAAAGATGAATAGAGTACTTTTAAGCTATCTGAGCCTCGGATAGGGGTTGTACTAAAAAAAATTCAGTTGATTTGAGCCATAATGCCGATCTGAGCTGGAACAACATGGCAGCAATTTTACTCATCTTTACACATTTTCCAAATGGTTGGCCTTGTTTGCAACAGGCACATTCAACCCAACTTAAAGTGGTCGGCATTATCTGTCGACAACCTTTATTCATCAACCTATAGCTATATCGAGCACAGCAAAGAAGCTGTTCCGCGTAAAGGCTTCCGTATTCTAGTTTAAAAGCATGAAGTTCAAAATGTTTTCACAAAACCATTTTAAGATATGAAGTTAACCCCCTTAAGAGATCCGATAGTTGCCTATTCAGCATAAACTAATTTTTAAGCTTCAGTCTGTTTATTAGTATTTTCTACCCAAAAAAAAAATAATAATAATAAAATAAAATAAAATAATTAATGGATGAGGCTCTCAGTATCATATATCTTATTCCTTCTGGTATGTTTTTCATGTTATCTATAAATAACCATGCACCAATATCACATTTATTAAAAATTTTATTGGAGATTTTGAAAGGAAGTGGTGGACTACAATTA